CTGCAGCTAATCAAGCATAGATTGCGCTTGATTAGCCGCTTTCCAGCTGCAGTAGCCCGAGCCTGACAACTGTGAACGCGGAAGTGATGAAATCCTAAGTCGCAGATGAGATCAGGAAACAGATGCACCCTGAGCTTATCCTGCTCTCAGTGTTGGAGCAGTTTACCATGGTCCTGGGTTCTCCAGAGGAACGGGACAGCCTGGGAACCACTGCGGGTGCCGCCAGCGAGGGTGGTTCCTTCAGAGCCCCATAAAGGTGTTCAGGTGGCTCTAGAGCCACTTGGATCACTTTTACCCAAAAGCTGATTGCCAGCTCTTGATACCAAGCTCTTGGCCTTGAATTCATATAATTTTATACTTAGTCAAGAGGCTAAAGTTTCTTGGTGGTTTGTGAGAGTTCAGTTGGATTTAAAGGGTTTCTGAGAGCTACAGAAAGTCAAAACACCTACACATTGAGCAGTATCCACATTGCTGATCACATCACAATTGTAGGTGCAAGACAACAAGAGGAAAATAAATCAGGTTTGAGGGGTGTGTTCTGATCGAAGTTACAAATGTGATTTAACCTGCCCTAGGATTTCCGAATTTTAAGTGTAGGTGTGACATTGTAAAAGGTCAGGTGTCCAATACCTGACACTTCATTGTCAAATACACCATGATGTGACATTTTGCTGCAAGTGGTCACATTCCTTCGCTATTGTCATGCTTTGGGGTTTTTCATGTCCATTTCTTCAGCAGCATCTTATATTTTTCACAGAATAATTTATCTTCTCTTACTGATCTGTCAAAGTTTATTTCAGTTTGGCAGAACAGGTTTTTCATCTCTCTTCGAAATCCTCCATTCATTAATTTGATAAAGCTCCATCAGCTTCCATCTAGGAAACCAGAACCTCTAGTGGGAAGGTCTTGTTTGATTGGAATTCATCAGGTACAACAATTCTGGATTTGGATGCACTTTCTGGTTCTGACTACTCTATGGAATCTTACCCCTGTTCCTGCAGATCTAAATAACCCATAATTAAAATTATGGAGCGTGAAGTTGGGCTTCTTCTTTTGCAGGAGAATCCTCAAACAAGTGAAAGTCAAAAAGCCCATTCAATTTATAATGCACTTAAGAGCCCTTTCACATGAGCAGACTGATCGGGTCCGCCTATCCGTTTTTCGGGCAGACCCGATTGGACCATCCATTGTTCTTTATGGGGAGGACACGCAGGGGGAAATGGGCTTGAGGTTCTTTCCTCCCCCTCCTTCGACAAGATATTTGTCTCCCCACCTTTGTAAAGCAATCTATGTTTGGCTATATATGATGACTTATGCCACCTGGCCACTGCATTCCTGTTTTGAACGTATGATGACTTGGTCTCCACAAGTCATCAAATACATTTGTATTATTATTACTATTATATAGGAAGCGCCAACAGTTTGCTCAGCGCTTTACAATATAAAGGGAGACAATACAGCAACAATACAGTTCAATACAAGAGGAAAAGGAGGGCCCTGCTCCTTGGAGCTTACAATCTAGGAGGGAGGGGACATTTGAACCCTTTCTTGATCGATGACTTTTTCTTATGGTCGTTGGAGGCTTCTCCCTGTTCACCTAGATACCATTGACCTATACCTAGCAGGAGCTATCTCAGAATGTATTGATATCATCGACAGGCACTTATGTTTTGCCCTTTTTCCCTGAAGAAGTGGGCTGCATCCCACGAAATGCGTTGGAATCTATAACACAAAGCATTTTTCATGGTCTCAAGAGGAAACTGTATCACCAGTTGTTCATTAACACCTATTGTCTCATATAGTTAGGTGTTCTTTGTCTATATATATTTCCACTGATAACCATTTACCATTTCATATACTATCTGTACAGTTGAGCCTGCTTCGCTCCAAGACAGTGGCCGCTGTTCGCTATGGCCGATGCCCGTGACGTCTATTACGTCTAAGACAACGGCCACTGCCTACTGTAGCCACCCTTGGTTGATTTTGGTTGATTTGGTTGATTTTAATTATATGCCCTTTTGTGTCTATGTCTTACTAACGTTTTCCACCGATGGGTGGTTTTTTTAACCTAATAAAAGGTGTTCAATTTTATCTACTGTTCTCATATTTTTGCTTTACTTGCATTGGTACGGTGTGGTACTTTCAAAGCCCCATTAGCTTTTGTGGTTAGGGTTCTCTTTTCATGTGTCCATTTACACCTGTCTACATTCGATCCACTAAAAACAGACAGACAGGGGTCGTTCCCTATAAGTCTAGCAGATTGGACGACAGTCGGATGTAAACGGATAGGTGGTCCATTTACATACAAACGCCTCACAGAGAGCAGCTGTCAGGAATGGACTTGCCAATAGTGGTGGGACTCACCTGCCTTGTGGGCTGCAGTACCAGGGCTGGCCAGCGGGTGCTCTCAACAACCAGAGGTTCACTTCGGCAATTAGCCATCACCTGGGGCTGATTGCAGGTGGTGTATTTAAGGGATGGCCAGACCTGCAGTCTGTGCCTTGGTTGTGTGTGTGTTTTTCCATGGGCCCCTGTATCTTGTAACCTGCATTCCTGTTCCTGTTCCTTTTCCTGCCTCTGCCTGACTTGTTGCCGACCCTGCCTGATCCTGACCTCTGCTGACTTCTCCTGTTTTGATCCCTGGCTTGTGACCCTGACCATTCTCTCCGCCTGCTCCTCCTGTACCTACCTGCCCAATAGTTATCGACCCGGCCTGCCTAACTACGTTGTGCTCTACATGTGTATGTACCTGGGTATCTGTATCAGTTTAGGTTTGGGTTTGTTTCACCTTGTTGTATGTATTTGTGTTAGCTTGGGGTTTGGTGCACTGCGTTTATGTTTGTATTGTTAGTCTTTAATAAAGCGTCTTATTTATACCAGATCTGAAGCTTGCGTTTCCCTGTGTCAGTCCCAACTTCTGGTCATCCGCCTGCTCAGTGGGCATCAGTGGACAGAACCCCCTCTGAGCAGGTAGATACGCTTGACCGAGTCAGTCCGTGTGAAAGGGCACTAACCCTATTCTTCCTTAGACTCTTGGCCAGCATTTTTTGCAAATCCTCCAAGTCACGTGATGGTAACTGCCATTCCTGTCACCTATACACATAGTTGTAGGCATCTCCGTACAGCTGCCTGCTTTGCCGATCATTTATAGCCAACTTTTAAGTGGCCATATTTTCATTGTCTTTTGTGGGAATGCGGTGTGTCAGCATCAGATGCATCATAGAGCCATCAGCACCACACATCACAATATATATTTAGCTCAGGTGTGAGAGCTTATTGTTCTCAAAGACATTGCAAGCTAAAAAAAGAGCACGCAATCTGTCAAAAATAATATACTTTAGGGAATCAGTCGTGACGCAAGACGCCTGTGTGAGCAGGCTCTGACAAATACAGCCGCTCATGTGCAGCATAGTAGTTGCGGGGCAGTTTTGGGGAATCTATTCACACAATAACTGCTTTGTAATGAATGTATGAGATTGATGATGGCAGATATCTGATGACCCAACCATAGAGGGGACTTCCTCCATCATAGTATCCCCTCAAGCCAGTCCAGGGTGTGCACCCTGAGAACCTGCGTAAAGGTCTATATTTTAGTTTGGGGATTTTTTGCCGATGTTTGTTTAAAGATATAAGAAGATTAATGTCATCTGCACATGGGATTGTCATTGAAAAGTGTTTATTTAACACGTAAAATATATTACTTTTTTTTCTTTTTTATATGTTTCACACATTTATGTAAAAGGGAATATAAACCCTGACAATGAACTTCTCTTATTGGCTCACTTTTGGGGTTGGTAATTATATAGCTGCCTGGTTCTCTCTGCCTGTCTTTTCTTAAGGAGTCTAATCAGTCCTCTAAGCTCCTATCTTGGACTACAGTAAGCATTGCCTCCTATGTTATGTAGAGCAGAAGAGGGGCAGGGATTATGTAGCTCAGTAGGAGACAACCGGACAGGGCTGACACCATTTCTTATGATTATACTGTATATATATATTTTATGGTGCACATATCAGGAATATGAAATGTTGGGTTTAACCTCTTGGCACCAGCCGAACGCAAATGTGCGGCCTCCCGGGGTCTGGGCCTAGAAGCCGAGCGGCCTGCACATTTGCGTTCTATTAAAAAAAGCATATGTGCTGAGAGCGCGCGCCCTGCGTGCTCCCAGCACACATGCCCGGTACTCATGGAAAGGTCCCGATCTGGGGCGGACTGACAACTCATGGGGTACCCGGGCAATAGGGGATCATGGGGCCCCTGTGTCCTTGCCCAAACTCAAAAAAGCCTATGAAAAAGGTATCAGGGGCATCTCATAGGGCCCCCTACTGACCCCGGGCCCTCGGGCAGGGCAGTTTCCAAATGGTCAGTTCGCCCCTGGTGCTCAGTATAAATGAGTACACCCCTTTTGAAAAGTAAGATTTTAACCACTTCACGTCCGGACACTTTCACCCCCTTCCTGTCCAGGCCAATTTTCAGCTTTCAGCACTATCACACTTTGAATGATAATTGCGCGGTCATGCAACACTGTACCCATATGAATTTTTTAGCATTTTTTTGAGACAGACAAAACTTTATTTTGGTGGTATTTATTCACCACTGGGATTTTAATTTTTTCGCTATATAAATGAAAAAGTCCGAACATTTTGAAAAAAAGTGTTTTTCTTATAATATTTTGAAATAAATAATCTTTTTTCATAAATCTTGGCCAAAATTTATTCAGCTATCTTTTTAGTAAAAAAAATAACCCAAATTAGTTTATAACCAAAAATTATAATTTAAATTTTTTTTTTTACATCTTTATTTTATTTGTTTATATTATTATTTATTATTTATTTATTTTTAACATACTGTCACCCTAGCAGTACATAGTGACACTGTACTACTTGTGGGGGGTGATGAAGATTTTTTTTTTTTTTTGTACACTGATTGCTTTTACACCCATAAAGGCTGTAAAAGCAATAATTTCTCCTCTCTGGCTGCATTCTTGCCTCATTGAGAAATACTGTGTGAGCTGTGATTGGTCACAGCTTGTCCCATGGTACAAGGCTGTTGTGAATAGCCTTGTACCATGTGACCTCTGTGATCATTCACAGATTTCACATGTAGTAAGCAATGATGTCAGAAGTGACATCTTGCTTACATCTATTCATGTGATCACTAATTGGCCAATCAGTGATCACATGATTGGGACCTCCCACAGAGGTCCCATACAGCACGGTGCCGCGCACTCCCAGGGAGCGCACACAATCCAAAATGGCGGGTGCCATTTATGAACGGCTACCTGCCCCTGCACTGCCACTGCCTGGCTGTTTATATACAGTGGCCGGATGGGAAGTGGTTAATCAATGTCTCAATGAACACAAGGACAATTCCCAAACTTTTGACAAAACTGAGTTTTTTAGACCATTTGTTTTGCTCATTACATGAAAGTTAGGTTACTAATTTAACTTAGATTACAAAATCTTCAGTTTTGCTCAAATTAGTTGATGCAAAAATGAATCCACCCCACTACAAAAACTACTCAAACTAGTATTTTGTATGACCTCCAAGTTGGCGACATATTGCAACATTTATCTTTTTCCATTCTTAAAGAACAACCTCTTTTCCAGCCTGGTTGCTGGATGGAGAGCGATGCTCAACTTTTCTATTTAGAATTCCCCATAGGTGTTCGATTGGGTTCAGATCAGGAGACATACTTGGCCACTGAAATACTTTCACCCTGTTCTTCTTCAGAAAAGCAACAGTGGCCTTAGATGTGCGTTTTGGATAATTGCCATGCAGGAAAAGTGCACGACGACCAAGGCACGGAGTGATGGGAGCATCTTCTCTTTCAATATAGAGCAGTACATCTGTGAATTCATGATACATCAATGAAATGCAGCTCCCTGACACCAACAGCACTCATGCAACCCCACAGAATGACACTCCCACCACCATGTTTCACAGTAGGCACCATGCATTTTTATTTGTACTCCTCACCTTTGAAACGCCATACAGTTTTGAAGCCATCAATTCCAAAAACATTTATCTTGGTCTCATCACTCCAGAGTACAGAGTCCCAGTAGTATTCTTCTTTTTCAGCATGGGCCCTGGCAAATTCCTGGCAAATTTGTGCATGGGCTTTAGGAGAGGTTTCCTTTGTGGACGACACCCATACATGCCATTTATCTGCAGTGTATGCCGTATTGTTTCACAGGAAAGAATCACCCCTGTGTGGTGTTCTACTTCTTTAGCTAACTGCAGTGAACTTACATGGCAATTTTCTCCAACCCTTCTCATCCGGAGACGCTCCTGGCGAGGTGTTAACATCCGTGGATGGCCTGAGTGTCTCTGTGAAATGGTTGCAGTTCTAGCTTTGTTAGATTTTTGTATCACTTTTGCTACAGCATTCTGACTGATAAGTAAAGCTATGCTGATCTTTTTGTAGCCTTCACCTTTCTTGTGTAAAGAAATTATTTTCTTTCTTATGTTTTGTGACAGTTCTCTTCCATGTGGTGCCATTGCTTACAGCATGAAATGGGAAGGGGAAAGTAATGCCCTTTTATAAGCCTCTTTTATATGATCAGCTATCTACTGGATACCTGTTTAATGAATAATTAGACTCACCTGGAGTTGAATTCTTAATTAGGATTTTGGTGTCTAAAATTTAGCTTTGCTCCTAAGACTTTCATTGGGGGGTATTCATTTTTGCAACATGGTCTTGGATGAAATTGTTAGGAAAACTACTTTTTTTGTGTGTGCAAATTAACAAATCTTGTTTGCAATCAATGGCCAGCAGTTGTGGGAGGATTTTGCAGTCTAGGGTCCCATAGCAAATGTGGATTCTGAAAGGAAAGTAAAGGTTTTCCAACAAATCTGTTGGGGTATATTCATTAATGCTGAGCACTGTGTATATATGTATATGTATGTATATATATATGACTTCGGGGGGGGGGGGTAAGCTATATATATATATATATATATATATATATATATATAGCTTACCCCCCCGAAGTCACTAGTTATGATAAGTTCTTTTTTTGCCATGACTCTGAGAGCTGCTTCGTCCCCTCTGATACACCTGGTTAGGTGATGGGATGCTGCAAACACCTATGAGCTCAGGTAACTACCCACAACTACTGTATATTGGCATATAGAAAATAGGCACCAGGATACGTAGTTGTGACTAAAGTATAAAGTTTAATATAAAGTATATTATCACAAGGCAAAATAAATGGCAATGCATATAACTCAATGAACAGGTAAAGGAATTAGTTTTGAATGCAATAAGAAACTGATGAGAATACTAGATTATAATATGACATTCATTGTAGATCAATATGGTAGTAAGCAAACTAACCTAGTACCTGTAGCACTGGTAAACAGCAGCATAAACAGTTAACCATATACACAAAGAACAGCATAAATAATAAGGAAAAGTCTTGCTGTACCCCTCTGCAACAAGTGATTAGAGGTGTCACAGAGTGCACTGTGTATATTTCCCCCTGGGAAATTCTCCTGAAAAAGGGTGCCCCTGGGAAGCAACTGTACAGTGTACGGGGTTGCAAACTTCAATTGGCTATTGGTGGGGCCCAACCTGTATGGAGGTGAACCTGGTTGCCGTTTCTTTAAATCTGAATGCAGTGGTTGGCTATGGTATTATTAACAAATAGGCAATCTCTTGATGCACTGAACTGCTAACAGTACTGTATAAGCACAGCCTCAACTGCTCACCCATCCTTGTACCCAGCAATCCTTGTCCAAAACACTTATCTATCTCTGGTCTCTGGAACCCGAGACTTGGTGGCTCAGTCTAGCTCTCAAAGTTGGTCAAATCCCGATCTTTGCACAAGCTCAGGTACATATCTGCAGATCTGCACAGATTCAGCTACAGGTCCACACCACTCCAGTCCCCACACTGCAATCCTCCCTTTGTGTCTCAAAGCCCAAGAAAACTCTCTACTCTACCCTCCTCTCACTGAGGTTCTTTTTGTTCTTGTAGTTCACAGTTGCATTTACCTGCACATCGCAACTCTCCATACAAACTACATTTCCAAAGGTACCACGTGGCTGCATCATAGTCATTCTAGTCCTTTCTGTCCCTCCGGCTCCCCCTAGTATGTAGAGGTGAGATATAAACAAGCAGGAGAATGGAGAAGACAGCGGCAATGTCTGTGTGCTTTAGTTTGCTGCTTACTAAGCAGCTTTTTGCTTGTTGAACGTAGCTAAACCAACCTAAAATGTTTGTGCTGCTAAATATGATTTATAAAATGCTGGCAGCTATGAGAATGGATTCTCCAATTTTATGCAATTTCTGAAGTAATGAGCATGACATGAGGGTTATTTTACTAAGCAAACAAAACTTGAAAGTTTCCTCTTACTGCTTATAAAAACAGTGATTTTTCTGTATCACCGAAGAAGCTTAAGAATCTATAATGAACGCCACGCACTGATCCGAGAGTTACCACATCGGAAGTACTGGAGAGTTTATCCTATTAGTCACACATATTCATCAATGAGTTCGTAAATGTCTGGGACAAGGCTGGTATCAGATTCTCTTTTTTTTCCATTCAATCTTTCCAGTAAGCATTCTCACACTCCTGCATCACACATACGAGGGTTTGTCTAATGCAAGTCAGTATGATGGTGCTAAAAAGCAAACTGATTGAGAGTTGGGGTGATGGAGCATTAGGCTCCAAGCTTAGCGGAAGTTCCAAATGGATCAGATGGTTGCTAATATGTGGCAGCTCTCTAATTTCCAATGGAACTCCAGTAGGGTTTCTAGGAAAGGTTATGTGACATGATAAGATGGAGTACCAAGTCATAGGGATTGGTTCAGATATAAGTTCTTTTTGTCAAAATAAATGTGTCTATCCACGTTGACATCCAATGCAGTTATACCCAGGTCTCCATTCACTGGACTGAGGTTTACCGAGTCAGAAGAATCCAGACCAGTGGTCAATCTTGGGGTCTAAAGTGTATATAACTCTTAATACTCAAATCTCTTTAATAAATTCCTGTGTCAGTAATATATCTTGTGTATGTACTTTCTTTTTCAGTAGAAGATATTTGGTAATCCTGCCAGTTCCATATTCTTCTTAACCATGAAAGTAGATTTGTTTTGGCATGGCCAGCTTGTCTCCCATAGCTTCTCATCCAAACTGCTGGATGCTGTGGCAATGCATTGGCTTCATAGTCATTCTGGCTGACACTGCTCCTGCCCACCTTGCCTTGGATGGCAACCCACCCTATACTTCTGCCCACATTCTAACTATTTTATTTATTGTACGTAGTTATATAGCACCAGCAATTAACACAGTGCTTCACATATTATACATTCACACCAGTCTCTGCCCTTAAGTAGCTAACAGTCAAAAGTCCCTAACTCCTAAACACAAATTAGGACCAGTTTAGATAGGAGTCAATTGACCTACCAGTGTCTGTTGGGAAGAAACCCACACAGGCACAGGTAGTGCATACAAACTCCATGCAGGTAACGTCATGGTTAGGATTCAAGCCTACCAAGCTAGGGCTGCAAGGCAGAAGTGCTAACCAGTAATCCAGTATGCTGCCTATAGAATACTGGGACAGATTCGTCCCCAGGGCAAGGATGTAGAACTTCACCCCCCTGCTAATGCATGCCGTAGAATGGGTGTACCACCTTGTGCCCGTTCTTTGACACTTTGTTCATGGTTGACATGGAGTGTACCTTGCCCATGTGTGGTCAATCGCTTGCTTTCTTGTGTCGAGAAGGTAGTTGCAAATCCATGCATAGACTTTCTGCATGGTTAGACTTTCTGATCATGCATGGTTAGACTTTCTGATTATACATGGTTAGACTGATCATGCATGTTAGACTTTCTGATCATGCATGGTTAGACTGGTTCTTTGATTATCATGGTTAGACTTTCTGATTATGCATGGTTAGACTTTCTGATCATGCATGGTTAGACTTTCTGATCATGCATGGTTAGACTTTCTGATTATGCATGGTTAGACTTTTTCATGCATGGTTAGACTTTCTGATCATGGTTAGACTTTCTGATCATGCATGGTTAGACTTTTGATTATGCATGGTTAGACTTTCTGATCATGCATGGTTAGACTTTCTGATATACATGGTTAGACTTTCTGATCATACATGGTTAGACTTTCTGATCATACATGGTTAGACTTTCTGATTATGCATGGTTAGACTTTCTGATCATACATGGTTAGACTTTCTGATCATACATGGTTAGACTTTCTGATTATACATGGTTAGACTTTCTGATCATACATGGTTAGACTTTCTGTCATACATGGTTAGACTTTCTGATCATACATGGTTAGACTTTCTGATCATACATGGTTAG